CCCTGCCAGGAACCTCATAGAATAACTAAACACAACTAAATACATGTTACTATGGAATGAAAAAGGCCCAAACCAAACAGAGCTTTGAGGTAATAGCAAGAGTCGATCCACTGTTCATCACCAGTGAGTAGATATCTTTAAATCAACTCAGTAGCAGTTACAGTGAACCTGGGACAACCCTGTCACATCCTGCAGGCCGACTATGTAGTCTTATCATTTGTTATTGTCATCTTCTGCTCCACACATTCCTTCAGTCTGAATCAAGACCTACTAACCTTACAGTAGATACTGACTGAGTGAACCACTACCTCACTACATCTTAAACTGTCTTCAGGGTTACTGGAAATATAATATTGCCTCTTTGCTATATCCTACACTTGCTGATAAATTCCAGGTAAGTGCAGTAATGCACAATCAGCCTTGGGATGCTTCAGGCATCCTCTAAATCAGGAGTTGAAAAGGTCATACAGATACTCCCAACAAACAAACCCTCCCAGACGAGAAAGTTTAAATCATTCTTCCTTCAGAGCCACTTAAAAAGTATGTTTATTTTCTTCTGGTGAACATGACAAAAATCCTTAGTCAGCCTCCAAAATTGTAAGCAACCTCCTTCTTTTTTTTTTTTTTTTTCTGTTTAAAAATAAGAAATTTGGGGTGTGTACTGTTTGCTGTCTCAGGTCTTAATCCATAGGGACTTAAACAAGGTCCATGCTTTCATACATTTGCCATGTTCTGGAAAATTGTTGTTTTTAATTGAAAAATGGTTTGTTTGTTTTTTCCCCCTGAAACTTCCAGGTCCTGGACCTTCCAAAAAAAAAAAAGAACTGAGACAGTATCTGACAAAAATTTCCATCATACAATGTCAGGATTCAAAACAAGGTAGTCTGTACCTAAATGACCCAGTGACCACACATACCCTCATTTGTAGCACAAAGAACTAAGCAAAGACACATCTTTTCTGACGAGTTTATTAGGGTGATGCAGTTCGGTGCCCCATAATCTGTCTATTCTCGCTCTAGCTAGGCAGTTCCAGCACACATCCCCACCTCCCACTGCCACGACATTTAGTAAACTACAGGGCACAACTATCAGATTCAGTGGGTGGTATTAAAGTGCTCATAGGGCATTCCCACAATAAACATCATGCTGCTCAGGACAGGCCTTGTGAACGTCTCCAGGATCACACAGCCACACAGCAGGATGGTGTCACTACTACAAGATAAAATTACTGTAGAGCACAGAACAACATCAGTGCTCTAAACATGGTCCCACACTGCAACATAACAGCAACACACTGCAAAATAACAGCAATGTTTTACTGCCTTGAGGTATGCAGCTCACCTTGACACCTCTGAGTGCTCTGTATTTGTTTTCCATAAAAACACGCTGCATGGCTTCTGAAGCCTGTTACTTCTGCATCATCAATATCACTTTATGTCCCACACCCTGAAGCTTGTCTAGTGAATGAGACACATTGTCTTGATACACTGCTATGTTGTTGTCAAGTTGTTGGATGCAAGGCATGGCCCGTGGCCTCTCTTTTTCCCCTCCAGAGATGCCAGATGAAATGTCAGCTTTCAAACTAAGTAAGCAGTAGTACTTGAGGCAGCAGCAAGGACAGAGGAGGCATAATGCTGATTAGATGACAGCTCTGAGGACAAACTAGACAGTGAGACAAAAGAAAATTAAAAAAAAATCCTTTTGTAAATACTAAACCAAAAATCATTTCAAAGCTGAAGGAAAAACAGGTAACCACAGAGATACAAGAAAAGCAGAAGAAAACAACTATTTAGAGGGGAGGTCAGTAACAAGATCAGCTTATTGGCTCAGCCATGGATCTCACAGCTCTGACCTGTGAATGAGTCATTGCAGGGCCCTCAGTGTTACTGTATGGTTTGAAGCTGCAATCCACCAGCTCAGCTGGGACAACTGCCAAGCAGCCACAGAGGAAGACGGGCTGACTTAGCTCTGAGCCACGGGACTAACCCAACCTGCACGTGTGCAATCACCACAGTTCAGCTGCTGTAAACACACTGTAACTCAGGTGTCTAAGTACTGACAGGTGAACTAACCTGCGTTCTACAGCCATGGGTCTCACAATGCCACAGAATGTTTTGCTAATACAATAGGTTTTGACTTAAGTAGTCACATGTCAGCACAAGGACAGTAGCTAAATGATCCAAACCCCATTTTTTAGGGAGATCTCTAATAGCTGTTCCAATATTCACAATACCCATGGCATATGGCAAAAGAAAGAAGGAAAAACCAAGTTAGGAACCTTTACATGGGAAAAATCACAACCAGTTGTCAGTTAATTAAACTAACTACCTCTGAGGCAGTGATGAATACACCTATGATGAATAAAGAGATAAAGGGATGCTTTGAGCCTGGCCTGTCTCATCCTAAACTAGACACACAAACAGGTCAGAGGCCTACAAAGTGAGCTATGGGAAATATTTTAGGTGAAATTGTCTGCTAGAGGCATCTGAGGGCACATTACAGCAATACTAGTGCTTGTGTGACTGTTTTCTGTGATGAACATGAAAGTTAAGCACTACACAGTTACCAATACCACCACAAAGCAGGTGAGAAATAGAAGATCTCAGATTTAAATCAGAAAAGGATGCGGGTGCCTACATAATGGGAGGAAAATTTCTGCCTTTATCCAAATCTCCTTCTGAAAAGGGTACATTCTGAGCTCTCCCAAGTTCAGATAGCACCATTTCACTTGAATGGAGCATGAGAAAGGGGGTCTGAATTACCATTTTGTTTGCAAAGGTCTCAGAGCTACTGCTTCTGAGGTTTCTTCCTCTCTTCCCTATGTTTTCTGTCCTACATTTTCCATTATTCAAATCATTGATTTTTAAAAGCAAATAACACTATTGCCTGACAATTTACTAAATATCTGCTCCTATGCAATGCATTATTTCTAGAGTGACTAACTCTTCCAAAAGTCACTTCTTTCAGCTTATTCTACTGGAAATCTAAAATGATATGTACTGGGATATGGGCAATAAATGACTTCCCATCAACAGCACCTTCTCATCAGTAGCTGAAAATACTATTACCCCTTATCTTTTCTCTTGACATGCAGTTGCTTTCCCAACCAACAAAACAAAGTCGTTAAGGCTACAAGATATTCTGATTAATTTTCAAAACATAAGACTTAGTGTAAAGGAACTTGACCTCAAACAACTAGCAGAATTGGTTTGCCAGCAATCTGTATCCCCTCTCTTGTCCTTACGGCTTATGGCAGGAAATTGCTACTTCACCACATCTCCCAGGAACAGACAGCACAAGCTAAAGCCATCCAGAGGAGAAATTAAGTAGTTCTTCTCTGCATTTCATGGCATATCTGAACTCCTCTTGCATCCTTTTAATTTAGGCTTGTAACTGAGTTCTCTGAAATAAATTGTTAAGTCTCTTTGGTGTCAGGTATAAACTGTCGGGAATGTAAAAACGTAATACAAAAGAGAATTTTAATAAATAGGATAAAGGCTGAGAGAATAGGTCAGAAGAAGAGCTCAAATGACAGTATGTCTCATAAAAACTCCTCCAGTCTAATATCCTGTCTGCAGAAGAAGCCTTTAGAGCATGCTTAAGAAAGATAATAAGGAATGTGGCAAATATAATAATCCTTCCTCCAACAGTCAGCAGATTAGAGACCGCTAATTGTCACAGGGCTTAAGGGAGCGAGTGACAACAGGGTTCCATGGCACAGATGTAGCATAAAGGGTTGGGTAAGCCATCTGCTTCTTTACAGCACTACAATAAACTGGGCTCTGTAATGTGACAGTGTCCTGAATCTTATACAGTCCAACACAGGCAGACCTTTCTCTCAGTGGAGACTATAAATACTGAGTTGGAGGAATAATATTTAAATGCTAATAGAGAGCAGTTCATACCATAGAGGTAATCAGAAAATTCAAAAGATGCCACTTATTTTAGAGAGCTCATTTAGCCAGTACTTCTTCATTCCACTCTCCCAAATAGCCTACTGTCCTCTCTCATCTAGAAATGCTGCTTAACAACAAGAGTTACCATTCTGAGGCAAAACAGGGCTAATTATGCCCACAATCTGCCCCTATCTAGCCAACATCCTATACCTCAAGCAAGAACAGAAAATCAGGGTGATTATGGAACATATGTGCATATGGCATTGCCCTCACAACCTTTGCATATTGAAGTCTTCCACAGGCAAGTATGCAGCCAGACCAGAAAGTTCAACAAATATTCATGGACTTATTATCCCTGCATTGGTCTAATCCTTTTTAGGGCTACAAGCTCATTTGACTCAATTCCACAAACACACAAGCTGATACAAATTAACATGGAAAATATTTCTTCATAAGAAATGAAGCAGACGGTGCTGTGTATTTGTCTTCCTTACAAGGAAATGCTATGCTAAGCAGGAAGAAAGTCAGCCGCCAAGAAATAATGACAACTATCACTTGAGCATACAACTGTCACAGGGAGCACCAAATTACCATTCTCCTCCGCGGGGAATCCTGGCTTACACCCCTGATCTGGAGGACATTCAAAGAGCAGTGGAAGAGCATGGAAGAACATGAAAGCAAACCTGTAATCTCAGTGTACCATAGGCATTAATTAACCTGGCTGCCATCCAAACTGCTGGCATCAAAATCCGCTTATCTGGAAGCTGCACATTTCAGCATTTCTGCAGACACTACTACGCACAGAGGCACTGCAATGCACAGGGGCAGTGGGATACCCAAAAATAAGAAAAAGAGGTAGAAATGGAGGAACACTGAAAATTATTACAGTGCAATAAGAAGATCTGTTAGTAGTTGGAAAAGCATGTTATCTGAAGAAATGGCACATCTGAATAAAGCAGGGGATGCATCAAGAATGTAATAAAAACATGAACGATTTCTAGAGAGAATACACCACAGTCAAGGAACAATTGTGCTGAAGCCAGAAAGGGAGAACAATTCAAGTAAAGGTATTTGTCTCTGAAAAGGAATTGTTTTTCTACATACCTGTCCAGTCTCCTACTATTTTTACGTGGACCCCAAACGTTGCTTTGGTATCTGTAGGGCACTAAAAATATTAAATATATTAAGGACCACTTCTGGTTAATAAAAAAATAACAAAATGCATTCAAAGTACAGTTGTTAAGACAGAACCTGGTGTAAATAGGTCATTCCTGAGCAGCCATACCAGCAGCTATAGCATTTAAAAAGCAAGTCTATCATCAATACAGTTTGGAAAGCCAAGCATATCTAGTCTCCAGTCAGACTTAACCCTTTCTTCTGGTCACAGAGGAGTTTCAATGTTTGCTTGGGGATGTGATTTGGAACAGTCACTTCACTAAGCATTACCAACTGAGGATACAAAAGCATGGAAATACTCACTCTACTATCAACACTCATCACTCATAATCAGGAACCACCCTATCACTCCTAAATCAAGGCATCTAAGAGATTTCTGGTTCTTGAATGTCAGAGTCCATGTTTTCAAGCTGATCATTCTCACACAACTGATTCTTTCCTCTAAATGGAAACTGAGATTTTGCTGCACTTCACAACAGCTTACAGTCTGCAAAGGAAAAGCACCAGATTGTGTGGCACACCATAAAAATCACTATGCAGCCACCATATTTACAGTCTTATCAACACCATGGTATCTAAGGACCCCCAGACAAGCCAAGTCAAATGTCTAAGGTGCCCCCCAAGTTTTGTTACTTGTTAGCTGCAAGGACATTTTAAATGCACTTCCTGGAAAGCTTTTGCAGGTACACCAAATAATTGCACACATAAACAGGTCAAGCAACTATTACTCAAGAAAAGATTCTTTGCTTTTATTCTATAAACCAACACCATTGATTTATTTTTGATAACAGATAATACTACTGAATTTTGATGCCTTTCTTAGAACCTGTTAATGATTGATCCAAGCTCCATCATGAAACCAATACCTAACAGATGATGCTCCTGTCTCTTTTTTTTTTCCCTACTGCTATAGAGAAATAAGAGTTCTGAGGAGAGGGCTTAAATTCAAGAAACACATCTATATTATAAATAAAAAGTCCAGGTAGCAAATCCAAGCACCAAATACTCAACCATGCACTATGCTTGTGAAGACACTTCTTGGCTCTGTTGTGGACCTTTACCATTGGTGTTCCCAAGATAATCTGTTGTGGAGTGCAAAACCACCGGACTCAGGGCTGAGGGTCAGTTCCTTATTTAACAGCAGACACGGATGAAAGGTTAGTATTACCTACACCTTGGCAAACCTAACCAGGGAATACAAAGTCTCAGCTAGTCATTCCATTTTCCTGAAGGAAAAGAGCACTCTTGTTAAGATTGCTGATTACTAGACAGACTCATATTTAACTTCTTGTCATCTTTCAAGTTTTCCTATAAAAATGGGGTAGAGAAGCCTAGAGTCTCAATTATTTCAGCAAGTTTCAGACTTCAAAAATAAAATGGCATTAAGGGAGGGATGCTGGCAAACTTCACACAGTGAGGTCAGGGTTTGCTATGTCTAGTGGCAATGTCTTCCTACAAAAATATCAAAGACCAATTCTCCACATAAAAGCAGGTAATCAGCCTCTCAGGTAGAAAGTTGTATACTGGTAATAAAAACATCTGTTCTCCTGGAGGCTTCTGTAAGAGCCTTTAGCAGCGTTTATTTTTCACTATGGGTTATCGCAGGGCTCTCTGTTTCACAGGAGGTTGACTGATTTTCTTCATTTAACTATCCACAGTCCCAGTTCAGTACATCTTCTATAAAATTATCTGTCATTCCCTCCTTCCATGAAGTTAATGGCAGAATACCCCTTGTCTCCAGCAAGAATAGGTTCAAATCTTTTATACATTACCCTTGTGATCAACTCCTTTCTGTACTACTCCGAAAAATTATCCAATAAAAGTGAGATTTATTTCTCTTTAAACTTTAGAAAACCTATTTTGATACTTACAACTGAATTTAATAGATCCTCAGAGAGTTCTGAAAAAATTGTGCTGCTAAGTCTTATCAGAAGAAACATGCCCATATGGGCTACATGGAGTGAAACGCTCTCAGTTCAAGAGAGAGAAAGCATGTAGATGGTCCAGCAAAGGGTCACCAAAACAATGAGAGGATTGGACAACCTGACATACAAAGAGGGGTCAAAAAGGGACCATGTTTGTGCAACCCACACAGGAGAAGGAATGAGGAGATCACTGTCTTCAAAGAAATAAAAAATAGCTATAGAGAAGATGGAAGTGCTTTCCTGTCTTCAGCACCATGCATGGAGACAGGACAACAGACCAGGAGCACAAGTTGTTTCAGAATCATTCCATGATTCTATATGGGTACAAAAATCTCCTCTAGGTGACGAGCAATGGAGAAATCAGCATATGAGAGCATAGCATATAGCAAAAGAAAACTATGTTATGAGCATCTGTTCCCCCAGCTTAGAGTACCCTGAATATTTAACATCACTGGTATCTATGCCCAGTCAAAAATCAAGTCCAAGACAAGAAACAGGACAAACATTACTGAATTTATTTTAATGGTATTAAATACAATTCAACATTTTAAAACACTCTTTTTAGGCCTTGGGGTGCATAGAGTGGGGTGAGTCAGAAAACTAGCAAGCAAGTGGAAAGTTAATTCTTGAATGCATCCAGTTCTTCTGAACTACTCTTCCATAAGAACTGTGAAGCCTCTTTGGAGAGATGTTAGGTTTTGATTACAGGCTGTCACAGAAATGCTAATGCATGCACTAAGATAACATTGCAGAATATCTGTTATCAGAAGAAAGGAGATGAAAGAGATGCCCAAGTTACATATCCCCTTATGGCTCTGCAAATAAATCTCCTTACAAGTTCCTGTGGAGATACTGTACTACAGTAAACACTATCCTCTGAGTTTGGTGCTGTAGTAGGTGGACTGAATAGTGCCCAAAGTCACAAAAAAGATCTGTGCCACAGCTGGAAGTACAAAGTGTCTGATTTGGGTAATTAAAAAGCTCATTGTGGAGTTTATTAAATAAAAGAAAACTCCTTCAAAGAAGGCTTTCTCTTTGAGGAAAAAGCCATGATATGATCCTAATATGGATTTGCAGATATCCTGGCCAGGACTGGAAACACTGCAGAGACCCTGTTTTCATGCTACTGCCTGCCAGTGGGGACCAGCTGCACTACAAACCCCAAATCATCAGCCCATCCTTACTCCAGACTCAGATGAACCCTTACCTAGATCAAGAAAACACATTAAAGACTTGGCATGTTTGGAAAAGAGGCAGAAATGAGGGGAAAAATAAGAAGAAAGAAACACAACCAATGTATTTTCCCTCCTCTGAAAGGAAAAAAAAATAAAAGAAATAAAAGGTTTTCAACTTTGTCAACTGACAACAAAATGTGAACCTCAGAAGCTCAGTAAGCTGTAGCTTGTCTGGTTTCATACAGAACTGATATAAACATTCCTAAAATGATTCACTCTGACATCAGAAAATTAACAGAAGTGATGACAAACACAGGCATGCTATATAAAGGTAGCCAAAAAATAGTAGCTAGACTTCAGTCTGACTCATAAGAGGTGAACTCTGTTACACTGGACTATTCCTGTTTTAACTAATTAATCCCATAAGAAGCAAATTTCAGAGGAAAAAAAGTTACTATGTGGAGTTATTCTTTTAAACATATTTCCCCCTCAAAGGCTTGGAGATTTTCAAAAAAAATCTGTTTATTTTTCTGTTTCATGTTATTTTACAGATTGGATTTTGTTTAAAAGTTTTCCCTGTTACAGACTTGGCCTTACAGCTATCCTAATTTAACTGGCAGACATCAGCAGACATTATAACATCTCTGAATGTGGGGAAATCCTAACCAGGGAACATGATTTAAGTATCAAGGGTGTCTGGATGATCAAGGCAAGACCACCATGCCTTGAATACTCATTGCTTAAGCCAGAGCCCTCCCAGCTTTACAGCCAACTCCTTGTAAGCAGCCCAGCTGCAGAAACATATACATTTTTCCTTTTTACTTTCCATTCCCATCTACTCCTTGTTTTACAACCTCAAACACCTCCAGTCTAGCTAGTGGAAAAAACACACCAAAACACTGCAGGATGCATCACTGGGCAGCTGCAGTTCCAAGAAGGATCATTCTGGTCATCTGGGGTCTAACTTGCTCTGTAACACAAACCACAAACCCACACCCACTAATTCCCGTGAGTCTGTAGTTTAGCATTTGCTGCTTCAGTCCCTGCAGTCTCCATTGCTAAATTTCTCTCAGTGTTCAAAACGATCTATGTTTTCCTTTGGTCTGAATCTATGACCATTTGTTCCTTGATTTCACTTTTGCACCAACGGAAAATACAAATCTTTAATGTAACAGCTACCTTAGAATTATAAATAGAACAATACTTGTAAAATACATATAATGTTGCATAAAATACATAGATCTTTGAATGTATAACATGAAATTTCTTTTTTTGATTTCTAGTACATCTGTAGTAGTCCAACTGCTATTCTATTGCTGTTATGGATGCACTACAAAGATACAATTTGACAGACTAATCAGTATTTCTTTGCCTCTGCAGCTCAACCAAAGCAAAAAACTTGCTGCTGCCCTTTCACCCCAGCAGACACATTACACTTCACGGAATCACAGAACACACAACTTCGAAGAAACCCATAGGGATCATCGAGTCCAGCTCCCTGTAACATAGTAAAACGTTTCAATCTGAGTTGTTAGCTTGGGAAAATACCGAATCACAACCTTTCAGATGCTAAGGATGCAAGCCTTCATCCCTGAACAATGCTCCTGCCCAAGCTGCCTCTCCCAGTCCTCCAAAGGTACATGGACGTATTGCCAAGCAACACTGCACTGAGCTGACAACAGATGAACAAGGAAACTGAATGGCACAAAAGATTCATTCTCCATCATCCCTGAGCAAAACTATGGCCAACTCCAGACTCCTGCTAACTGGCTCCCAGTGATGTGAGGCACTAATGGAAAAACCATCAAAGGATCAATAAGTTTTCCAGTCAGATCACCAACATCCTGAGGAAGCCTCTGTCCCTCCAAAATCCCGTGGCCAGCACACAG